TCCTCAGCTGGTGTTTCCCCACTCCCCATCACGCCTGTGAGCGGCTTCCTTGCTTCCTCCCACAAAATTCAGAGTGTGTCTGCGTGCGCGTGCATTCCGGGAATCATGAGAGAGGGAAACTGCTGGTGGGATAGCCCACCACGGAGCGGATGGAAGATCATTTAAGGGGCACTCTCGATCTGTCCTTGCCTCTTCCCCCCCCCCCCCCCCCCCCCCCCCCCCCCCGGCTGCCTGCCTGCACCCTTCTGGACCTGGCCTTTCCTGTTCTTCAAATGGGCTTTGAGATAAGGTGACCCACTCTGATCGGAACCTGTCTGTGCGCTGGCGGCTGCTTTCCCCGATGCTGCCCTGGGGCTAGCAGAAGGGGCCCACTGGAGCCGACCCAGCTCAGCTTTGTTGGCGGAACAGGCAGATGGCTGTCGGCTGGGAATCGCTAGGTGTCTCTTTGATGCTCGGAGCTCAGGAAGTCATGACGAGGAGGCTGCCTCTGAGCATGCACAGTGTGCCTTTTCCTCGCGGCTGGCTGCAGCTAACAGCCTGAAAGACCTGCAGTTCTTTTCAGAGCATGGCAAACACACTTTGGCACCGAGGGTGGAGGGCTCTGAGGCCAGGAGCACAGAAAGCTGCTATTGTTTCAAACAGCCACCCCCTTTCTCTTCCACTCTCACAGCCCGAGCACTGCGCACAGAGAGAGGCTTGTGTGCCCTGAATCTCCCCAGTCAGCCCTCGGCTAGCGGCACCTGCAGTCCGAGGCCTGCTCTGTCCCTTGTTCTCTGGCGGACTGTCTTCCCTTCACTGGGGGTGCCATTCGGTGCCAGCCTCAGCTATTTTTCTGGGGGCAGGGAAGGCACCCGTTCTCGTCCCCTCCTTCCCCTACTGTCCCTGGTGGCAAAAGTCTCCGCCTGGCTTCCTCTGCGGCTTGAGGCTGTTTCCAGGGTGATGCTTCCTGACTTGGCTCAGAATTGTGCAGAAATTAGGATGAGACCTACAGCCTGTATGGCTCCAGGGTAAGGCCTGGACATCCCCCGCAATGACAACTGATCTTCGGACTACAGAGATCAGTTCCCCAGGAGAGAGTGGCTGCTTTGGAGGGTGGACTCTGTGGCATTATAACCCGGTTGAGCATCCTCCCTTCCCCAAATCCCACCCTCTCTAGGCTCTGCTCCCCAGATCTCCAGGAGTTTTGCAACCCGGAGTTGGCAACCCTACGGGTCAGGGACTCAGGACCTTCTCCAGAGATCCCATTGTACAGTCTTAATTAAACCAGTTTGGGTGCTCTTGGGACTTGGTCTCCGATTTCCCCACACACACACACACATCTGGCCAAAATGGGCAATTACCAGGCTTGCCGGCCTCTAAGTGGCACCTGGAGAGCTCCTGCTATTACAGTTCATCTCCAGATGACTAGATCCATTCTCCTGGAGAAAATGGATGCTGTAGAGCCAGTTTGGTGTCGTGGTTAGGAGCGCGGGTTCTAATCTGGGAGAACCAGGTTTGATTCCCCACTCCTCCACTTGCACCTGCTGGTGTGACCTTGGGTCAGTCACAGGTTCATTCAGAGCTGTTCTCTCACAAGCAGTTCTCTCAGAGCTCTCTCAGCCCCACCCACCTCACAGTGTACCTGTTGTGGGGAGGGGAAGGAGATTGTAAACTGCTCTGAAGCTCCTTCGGGTAGTGAAGGGGGGGGTATAAATCCAATCTCTTCCTCTTCTTAGAGGGTGGACTGCATGGCATCCTACCCTGCTGAGGTCCCTCTCTGAACCCTTCCCTCTCAAGGCTCCACCCCTCCACCCCAAATCTCCAGGTATTTCCCAACCCAGATCCGGCAACCCCAGCAGTGGCAGTTCTATCTCGCTGCCCTGCATTTCTGTCTTGAATGCGTGGGGGCTGCTCCAGGTGTGAATTGTATTTATTCATTTTAATTTGTTTTCTCTGTGTGCGGCTGGTCTCACTGAGGCTTAAGGTGGATTATACAATATAAAAGATGCAGTCAAATAGCATGAGGCATCTAATAAACGGGACGCTAGGATTACAAAAATTAGAAACAATGTGAAATCTCAAACAATGCAGAGAACAGGATTGCAGAATTAGAACACAGTGTAATCAGAGCAGCATAAATCATAGAGTAAACAAATGACAAGTGCCATGGACAGTGGCCGTAGGCTGCCATTCTGTTCCCCGTAGTAAAAACACCTTCCCTAGTCATTCTGTGATACTTTGGCTCTATTCCCTGGTTTGAAAGCCCCGTTTCTCTCGCCAGGGTGCCAGTAAGAAGGCAGGCGTCCTGTTGGCCACCTTCTCAAGCCCTGTGCTCTGGACAGATCCTCTTATCCTTCCAAAGTGGCAATTAGGCATCACTACATCCAGTCCAATCCAAATACCTTTATTGGCATAAAAGGAGAAAAGGTACAACATGGCCAATTTACAGAGAATCTCAATTATAAAAACCATCAAGCATCACATAGAAAAGCTAGACTTCTGCTCCCTGATTGTTATGGCAGACCAGAAGGTACCTTGCAACTGAACTTGTAATGTGGGAACATCGGTCAGATAGTAAAAGAGATACTAACTTCGCCTCAGATGGACCGTAAAAGTTAGACACAGTAGGTTTAATTATACAGTCCCGCACTTCCCCATAAAAATCACAGTGAAGTAGAACATGGGCTACCGTTTCTGGGTCATCATTACATATTATATTCCATGTGCCCTTCCCAGGTCTGTGCAATCAGACTTGTGGTGGCAAGTTCCATGCTGGGAATGGAATTCCCAGGCAGGCGCAATCCTGCTTTAGACTGGGACCACAGCATGTAGGGAGAATGTACTTGAACCTCCCTCCCTCCCTCCCTTCAGCTGAGTTTGTGACCTGGTTGGCCTGTTGTGGAAACCGCTTATTCTCTATCAGAGCCAGTTTGGTGTGGTGGCTAAGAGTGGCAGACTCCAGTCTGGAGGACCGTGTTTGATTCCCCACTCCTCCACAGGCAGGCAGCTGGGTGACCTTGGGTCAGTCACAAGTTATTTCAGAGCTGTCCTCAAGAGCAGTTCTCGAGAGAGCTCTCTCAGCCCCACCTACCTCATAGGGTGTCTGTTGTGAGGAGGGGAAGGGAAAGGAGATGGTAAGCTGCTCTGAGACTCCAAGTGAAGGGCAGGGTATACATCCAACTCTAACTCTTCTTCCTCCTCCTCCTCCTCCTCCTCCTCCTCTTCCTGTGATGGGGCAAATAGTACCCTCCCCACAGCCATATCAGCTCTGGAAAAGAGCCCAGGTGCAAAGGCTGAAGAATCTTCTCCCTGTGTTCGTAGCCCTAATCCACTTGACCCACGTGTGTCCTGGAATTCGTTTGTAACGTCCCACAAGGAATGCTGGAAACAACCTTAACATTCTGTTTTGTTTTGTTCCTGTTCCCCATGCTTCCGGAGAAGGGGAGAAACAGCCTTGGTGGGATAAATAACCCCTTGAAGCCTCACTCCCATGAAGCTGCCTTATTATTCTGAATCAAGCTATGGATCTACCAAGGCCAAGAGAGTCTATCCTGACTGACAGCCTCTCTCCGGGGTCTCAGGCAGAGGCCTTTCACATCTTCTACTGCCTGATCCTTTTAACCGGAGATGCCGGGGACCAAGGCTGGGACCTTCTGCATGCCAAGCAGGTTCTCTGCCTCTGAGCCCCAGCCTCTGAGCTGAATGAAATGGTCCTTTCTGAGACTTCTCAACGCCAGGCCTCAGAGCGGATCAACAGATGAGTCCTGTTGCCTGCATTCCCTGTCTGCGGGCATCTCGTGGGCCAGTGCTGGGAATCAGCCGCCGAGCTAGACAAACCTTTTCCGTCCCTTGCAGCCGGGCTTTTCTTGGGCCTCGGTGAGCAAGGAGATCCAGCTGCAGGTTATAATTTGCTGACAGCCTGTTCTCCCCCCTCCCCCTGCACAGGGTATTCCATCAGAATTTACAAGTACTATTTCCCTGTCATCTTCGCCACGGGAATGTTTATCTGGTCCTTTGTGGAATACCTCATCCACCGCTTCCTCTTCCACATGAAGCCGCCCGCCAGCAACTACTATCTCATCACCCTGCACTTCATGCTTCACGGCCAACACCACAAGGTAAGCGGGAACTGACATCCCCCAGCCGGGAGGGGATCACTTGGCAGCGCTTCTTGGAAAGCAGAGGCTTGCGTGGCAGGAGCCGTGCTACCGAACGAGACGTGATACAGTTGAGGAAAGAATCCCACGACTGAGGCCCACGGCTGATTACAAAACTCTGGGCTTATATAAATGCCCGTCTGCTGAGGCAACCTGTGGGTTTGGGCAGAATATTGAACACCCTTAGCAAGAGAGTGGAAAGCGAAGAAGCCACTGCATACCTACAAAGCGAGAGTTGCTGGTGCTCGAACCTCTTTTGCAAGGTGACATGCCCAAGGTCTTGGCTCATGTGCATGAAGTTAGCATGAGCTGGCTATACACAAGCAGAGAGAGGAGGGAGCTTTTACAATAAAGCCCGCGGGAGGCTTGGTGCTTTAGGAAAGAAACGGATGTTCTGTATTGTTAGATAGCACCTTACAGACTAACCAGATATGTGGCAGGGTATGAGCTTTCGTGAGTGACCCATGTTTTAATGCTTCCGGGTAGCAGTGTGTGGGAACAAGGTACTGGGGTGCAGGTAGACCATAAGTTAAATATGAGCACCTGGTGCAATCCAGTAACAAAAAAGGCTAATGCAGTCTTGGGTGTATCAACAGAGGCATAACATCCAAATCACAAGAGACCATAGTCCCGCTGCACACCTGGAGTATTGTGTGCAGCTCTGGAGGCCTCCCTTCAAAAAGGATGTGGACGGAATGGAGCGAGTGCAGAGGAGAGTGAGGAGGAGGATCGGGGTCCTGGAGACCCAGCCCTGTGAGGAATGGCTGAGGAACCTGGGAATGTTCAGTCTGGAGAAGGGGAGGCTGAGGGGGGACATGACTGCTCTCTTTAAGTATTTGAAGGGCTGTCACTTCGAGGAGGGCAGGGAGCTGTTCTTGTTGGCAGCAGAGGAGAGGACTCGCAATCATGGGTTTAAATTAAGGGCGGGAAGGAACTGCCTGGATATTAGGAAATACTATTTTACAGTAAGAGCTGTGCAACAGTGGAGTCAGCTGCCTAGGGAGGTGGTGAGCTCCCCCTCCCTGGCAGTCTTTAAGCAGCGGCTGGGATGCTCTGATCCTGCAGTGAGCAGGGGGTTGGACTAGACGGCTTGTGTTGCTCCTTCCAGATCTGTGATTCTGTGATTCAGATTGGACTCTGAGGACCCTGATTCAGTTCTTATAGCAGACATATATTACTTGTTTGTTTAACTGTTATCATCCTCTTAAAGCGTGATCTTTCCATGATTTCTGAATTGCGTTTTTATGTGTATTGTGGTTTACTGTGTGTTTGTATTGGGCGACCAGCCTGAGAAAGCCTAACAAGCCATTGTGCTTGAAGGACTATACTATGGGAGAATAAAGTGTCTGAGAACCTGCACTTGGGTGGAATTCTGTCCTCGGCTTCTCATCGTGGGGCCTATGAATTCCACTCAGGCAAAAGAGGAAAGCAAATTCTTCCCCTGAACCATCTAAAGGAATCGCCAACAAAAGCTGAACTTCACAAATTAAAAAGGCACCATTTCACCATTTCAGGGAGGGGGAGCTTTACGTATTTGTTTGTTTGTTTATGCATCCCAATCCGGGTGCTTAGGAAACTGAAGTCCATAGCCAGTTTCTGATTTTGCAACTTCTCTGTGCTGACAGAGATTTGCTGCATATCCAGCAGCCCTGGGGCATCTTGAATGCTGACATTTCGAACTGTGCATCATAGGAAGAAGTGGGCTTTTTTGTTTTGTTTCGGTTGAGCAAACCAGTTGCTCCATCTCTGTCTGGGGAAAAGGTCGGGTGAGGGAATGTAACTCAAGAGAATGGGGCAGGTGTGGCTTTCTTAGAATGTGCACAGATTAGCATTGAATGTATATTATCCAGACTGGTGCTGCCTCCTCTTATGTGAAACATGCAGATTTTCTGATGTGAAAAACCCATGTGGAGCTGAGCTGCTCTGGAAAGCTGAGACTCTCTGGTTTGCGATCATTTCTGTTGTTTCCCAGTGGTGCAAGCTGCACGTTAACACAGCATTGTATTTATTCACTTTACTTCATTTATACCTCGCCTTTCTCCGCAGTGGGGACCCAGAGCAGCTAATGTCATTCTCCTCTTCTCCATTTTATCCTCGTGGCAACCCTGTGAAGCACGTTAGACTGAGGCTGTGTGGCTGGCCCAAGGTCACCTAGCAACCTTTCATGGTAGAGTGGGGATTCAAACCCCCCCCGGCAACCCTGAGCCTCCCAGTGTGAAGTAGTGGTTAAGAGCGGTGGAATCTAATCTGGAGAGCCAGGCTTGATCCCCCACGCCTCCTCCGCACAAAGCCTGCTGGGTGACTCAGGCCAGTTGCACTTCCTTCAGAACTCTCTCAGGCCCACCTACCTCACAAGATGCCTGTTCAGGGTTGCCAGGTCCTTTTCACCCGCCAGCGGGGGACTTTGGGGGGCGCCCCTGGAGGGGGAGGGGACGTCCCCAACATGACAACATCACACAGAACTGACGTCATCACCTTAGGGAGACTGGCCTGAACTGCAAGTGGTGAATTCGCTGCTTGCAGTTCAGGCGTGCATGGCCCCTGCTTGTAAAAAGCATTTAAAGGGTCCCTTTAAATGTTTTTTTACAAGCGGGGGCTGCCAGCACCTGTACTCCAAGCAGCGAATTCACTGCTTGCAGTTCAAGACGCGTGCGGCCAGCGGCCGCCCCTCTCCCTCTTCTCCGGCAGGTTTTAAAGACCCCTCCAGCTGATCAGCGGGTCACCTGCTCCCACCGATCAGCTGGAGGGCCCTTTAAATCGTGCAGAAGGGAGGGAGAGGGGTGGCCACTGGCGGTCGCTCTTGGGGGTGGGGCTTCGGGCAGGGCTTGCCGGAGCCCTCGGAATCGGGGGATCCCCCATACCAACCTGGGGACTGGCATCCTTATGCCTGATTTGGGGAGAGGAAGGGAAGGCAATTGTGAGCCACTTTGAGACTCCTCAGGGTCGAGAAAAGCAGGGTATAAAAACCAACTGTTCTTCTTTTCTGACACTCTAACCCCTGTGCCGCCCTGGTTCTGTCACACTGCCATGGCCCTTTCCCCTGTGCTTTGGGTCAGATCCCCAAGCTGCCACTGCTTCTTCCCCTCACTGGACAACAGCCACATTTTATTAGAAACAAAAAATGGCCATGAGTTTTATCGCAAGTCTCCACATCTCTTGGCAGTATTGGGCCTGGGAATTGGCTTGTTGTTTGGGGGGCATTGATTTGAAGTCACAACTCACCTTTTGTGTTTGCCTTCCAGTGTCCATTTGACGCCTCACGCCTGGTTTTCCCACCTGCACCGGCAGCCCTGCCCATCTTGGCTTTCTACGTGGTTGCCAATTGTTTGTTTCCTGAAGCGGTCGCCAAGTCCCTCTTTTGTGGGGGGCTTTTTGGCTACGTTCTCTATGACATGACCCACTATTACCTGCATTATGGCTCTCCAGAGAAAGGGACTTACCTGTACAGGTTGAAGGCCTACCACGTCAAGCATCATTTTGAACACCAGAAAGCAGGTAAAGGGGGTGGGCTCTTGTCCCTGGATAGCCCGGGGGGCGGATACTGCCAGGTCAAAGGTGTTGCACTGCTTTGTGTTCCTTTTTGCTCTGCACAGTCTTTTCCTGGATCAATGCTGCCATACACTTGTGCTCAACAAACTTGCACTTTGGGGTAGATTTGCCCTGCTGGTGATTGTGGGAAGATTCAGCCAAGCTCTGATTCCAGGGATTGGCAGTACCACTTTAGTGCTTCCACTCTAAGCTTACCCAGCCACACAAGGTGGTTTATTTCTTTAGCACACCTACTTCAGAATATTTATATCCTGTTTTTTTTTCTCAGTCACTGGGATTCCAAAGCGGATTGCACTGTTAAAACCAACTAAAAATCTAATTTCACAAAAATTCAGTCGGCCAGACACTGCTCAACCGTCTGTAAGTGAAAAGGGGTGCAATTTGACCATCAAAAAAGCTTATGCTAGGGATTGTGGGACCTGCCCAGGTGAAAACCATGTGGGACAAGGGTTGTAATATGGCAGGGAGTTTTAGGTGTGAGAGAGTTAAAAAGTTGACTGGATCTAACCTGGTGTAAATAACAAGGTGGTGGTGGAAAATGCCATCCAGTTGCCACTGATTTCTAGCCGTCCCATCGGGACTTCAACGCAAGAGACAAATAAAGGTGGTTGGCCACATCCTGATTCTGTGTCGCAGCCCCCGCCTTGCCTTGGTGGCCTGCCACCCAAGTACGAACCAGGGCCGAACTTGCTCAGCTTCTGGGAGTTGACAAATAGCCTAGGCCACCCAGGTTGGGGCAAATGACAAGAGAGCGAGCCGTTTGCCCCGGCCTGATAACTGATCTCCACTCACAAGCACGATGGAGAAGTTCTGCCAAAGTCCCTGCCAGGTCGGCGCCTTCCTCGTGTCCTCGGGAAGCCCATTCTGGAAGCAGGAACAGCCGTCAAGAAAGGCCGCAGAGAAACTGTTCTCACCAACCTATGTGGAAAAGCTGCTAGCAGTCTCTTGCCTGAGGATCAGAGCTGCCTTGCGGGCAAATATGGATAGATGCAGTGATCCCTCAGATACAAAGGTTTTCCGCACAGCTATAATGACTGAAGGAATTCCCTATCCTGGGGAGGGGGGGGGGTGAACTAGGCATTCGCCTAGAGCGCCGGGTCCTGGATAGGGCGCCGGGCCCTGGATGGGGTGCGTTCTGGCCCCAGCCTGCCGGCCCTGCCAGCCAGCAGGTGCCAGGAAAGACTCGGGGAGCCACTGCCAGTCTGCGCAGACAAGGCTGCCCTGGCCTGACTCCCTGCCGGCCTCTTCGGGAGCCCCCCCCCCCCAGGCTGGTCTCCTCGGGCGTAGGGGGGAAGAGCCTCCCCTGGAGAGCCAGTGCAGCAGACCCCCCGGCGAGATGACGATGACTGGCCCGCCGCTTGCAGCCCCAAGCCGCCCGGCCGCCCTCCCCTGCCGATGTGCCACCCCTCCGCCTGCCCTGCTCTCCGCCTCCTGGCCCGCCTTGACACCGGGTGCCATGGGGAAGGGAAGGGAGTGGTGCACGTGGCTGCCTGGGCCTGCCGACTGGCCGTCGGGGGAGGAGGAGAAGGATCCAGTCGCACGGAGTTCTGCCGGCCTCGTTTCCTGTGGTCAGGATGCCTTCAGGGCCCTGGGGAGAGGCCGGAGCGCTCCTTTGCCCACTGTGGAGGCGACCCCGGTGGCGGCTCCCCTGGCATGGCTTTTGGGGTGGGAAGGCAGAGCGGAGGGAAAGCCCAGCGCCACTCGGGGAGCACGCACACCCCACGCCCCAGCCTCTCCGGACCCAGGTAAGAACAGTCCCAGCGGCTCCCCACGAGAGCTGCCTGGATGGGCACTTGGGCCGCCCCCCGGCAGCAGAGGCACAGCACCCCCGGGCCAAGAGCCCGTCGCCGGCTGCTGCAGATCGGGGACTTCCTTCTCTCCAGGCCCCGCCTGGAGGTTGGCAACCCCGTAATTGGGCATGCACCTGGGGGGCGCCAGAAGGTAGCCCCACCTAGGGCACAAAAAAAACCTCAGGCCGGCCCTGGCTCTGTGGCCTCGTACCCTGCTGAGGCCCCACCCCGCCCTCTCCAGGCCCCACCCCCAAACTTCCAGGAATTTCCCAGCCCAGAGCTGGCAACCCTAGGTGGCAGTGGGGAGTTTTGCTACACACACACACAGGCCCATTTCCACACAGGTTATTTGCTCTGGGAAACGGGTTTTTTTCTTCCTTCCCCACAGCATCGTGGTGGGCACTTGCACCTCCAAGGGTTTCCCTGGCTTGTCTACACTCTCTCCCAAACCAGCTTTGCTGTGAAGTTTGGGGAAAGATCACTGTAGGGGCTGCCATGTGGGTGGGAATGTTTGGATTTTCCTGCTCTCGTGGCAGCCATTTTCCTTGATCCTGTCCCCACGGCAGCCATTGCTTTCCCCTGCCACCACAGGCTAATTGAAAAACCAGCGATCAAATGTTGTTATATCAACACCACATTATAACAGCATGTGTGTCAGGTTCTCTGAATCCCTGGATTTCATCCCCCCCCCCTCAAGTAAGTCTCTAGCTCCTTTCATCTCAGAGAGAGTCCTACTTTTTTCAAAGTGAAAGCTGGGAATTCAGAGGACCTGACACATGGGTTGTTATAACATTATATTGATATTTGTACATTTAAAATACCTGCAAACGCCCTGGCCGCTTGGGGAGTAGGGGTGGCCACTCCCAAGGAATTGGGACAGGGAATCGGTTGGGGAAACTGACGGTGTAGAAACCCGGCTGCTGCTGCACTGTATTAGCGGCGACAACAACAGGGAAACCACAGAAACCCGTCCCTGCGTGGAAACCACCCCTGTGGCTCTTTGTAAGATTCTGCTGACTTGACTGTTGGAAATGGAGACACCTCCCTGGGGGACCTTCTCAGATGTCTTTGTACCAGTTTCCCACAGTTGATCAGCTCAGCAGTAGTGCTGGCCGAAAGGAGTGTAACGTTTGGGTTGCCCAAATCAGAACCCAGATACCTGGCCTTCTGCAGGTTTTAATGTCTTGCCAGCAACAGGTTGTGTACATTAAATCACACTGTGGCAGCGGAGTGTGGGAGAAGATGAGCCTCCCCAAGATAAAAGCCCAGTGCTCACTTCTGGCATTTATTAATTTATATGATTCATTTTTAATTTGCCCTTCTTGCTAAGACTCAAGGCAGATTTACAATTCAAAAGCAGTTCAGTAAATACTGTATATGATAGAGACAGTGCCGTGGGAATGGGTTCCAAAAATGGGAGAAACTGCAGTTAAATAAAGCAGGGTATAGGTGAAGTGCCAGTGCTGGGAGGCAGCATCAGGGGAAGCCTCGGCCTCTGTGGGCCCTCCAAGGCAGCTGGTTGGCCACCCTGTGACCAAGGCTCCCTCTAAGCTGTGGGGTCTTGTGGGCAAAAATTCCACTTTCTGAGCTCCTGGCATTAAAGTTTTGAGCGAGCGATTTGGCTACTGCATCAATTAGTTTGCTCTGGAGCTATCCTTCCTGAGCTAAGACAAAAATGTGTGAGCCAGAGGCTAAAAAACTGAGCTAGTTCACACAGGATGCTGGACTAGATGGAAGACTGGTCTGATCCAGGAGGATACTCTCCTTGTCTGTTTATCACCTTGGCCCAATGGATGTGGGTAAGCAAGTTACTAGGAGCTGGATATAATCAGAAGAGTTTTCGGCTAAACATTAGAATGAACTTCCTGACAGAGCAGTTCCTTAGTGGAATAAGGCTTCCTAAGGAGGTGGTGGGCTCTCCTCCTTTGGAGGTTTTCAGACAGAGGCTGGATGGCCATCTGACAGCACTGCTGACTCTGTGAACTTAGGCAGATCATGAGAGGGAGGGCAGGAAGGGTTGCCTCAGTGCTTAGTTCTTGTGGCCCTTCCTTACACACCCAGGGAAATGCTGATCACCACTTTGGGGTCAGGAAGCAATTTTTTTCCAGGCCGGTTTGGCCGGAGATTCTGGAGGGGTTTTTTTTTTGTCATCTTCTGGGCATGGAACAGCGGTCACTGGGTGTTTGTGTGTGGGGTGTTTGTGAAGTTCCTGCACTGTGCAGGAAGTTGGACTAGATGACCCTGGAGGTCCCTTCCAACTCTTATTATTCTATGACTCTATAAACTGTGCCAGATTACAAAATTAGCGGCGCAATAAAAATGCCATAACTAGAATTTTCACTGGATCTGAGGCCACAGATTTGCAATATTTGAATACATTCCTTTTCCCTGGAAGCTCTGGAAAGAACAAAGGCCCTAGATCTTCATGAGCCTTGTTAATAGCCAAGCAAACAGTTCTTCAGAAGTGAAAAGCAATAGCTATGCCATATATTAAAGTGTGGACTGAATCAACATTGCACCTTGCGGTCAAAGAAAAAGTGGATTTTAATAGACAAGAAACAAATGTAAAGTATGGTGAAATGTCTGAATTTGTGGATCAAAAAATAAATAAAAACAGGGTAGTAGCTACAATCAGCAATGCAATGAAAACTGCCTAAAATTTTCACAGGTATTAAAAAGACAAGCCTTGTTCCTTTATAAAAATGTGTCGTTGATCTAGGAAATGGGTACGCTATGCACATGCTCACTACGTGTGGTGGGAAACGTCTGTACCCAAGACACATATTTGTGTGAATGTGGCCTGTTTTCCAGTTGGGACCCAGATCTACACTAGGACACTGCAGATTGTTAAGATATTAAAGGGGGGGCCAACAGCAGTACCAGGGGATTAGCATATCTCAAGCCAAAAAATATCAAGTGCTCTGTGTCAATCTGGTCACTAAAGAGCCTGTCACTCCAGGCATCCAAATGTTACACAAGTTACTCAGATCGGGAGCTGAGGCAAGAGGCCAAGGAGATGGAACAAGAGAGAAGCAAAGAAAACTAGAATTTACCAAAGCCCAAGTTGGGAATCTAAGCACTGAAGAAGGGGTACAAGTGATCTAGACCAGTGATCTCTATTGTGGTGTCTATGGGTGTCATGGTGCCTGCAGATGGGTTTCTTGAGGCCCATTTGCTTCTTTGACAAGGCATCTTTCTCCCAAAGCCAAGACCCAAATCCTGGCTTTCTTCGACCTCATTGGATCAGGAGGTGCTTCAGGAGATACCAAGAAGCATCACCTTTAGGACTTCAGGGAGTACCCATTCCGAAACAGCTGCTCCCATGATAAGATAGTTCCTGGATTGCAACCTCCACGTTGCTTTGTGATTAGCAGCCATTTTGTGATCCACCCCCCTTGGAGTGGCCATTTTGTACCGACACTCTGTTCTCAAAATCCCGGAAGTGCCCACAATCATGCTCAACAAGATTGGGCACCCCTGGTCTAGGCAGCTGCAGATGAAAGTCAAGTGTGTTTTAGGCTATACCCATGGTTCACATGAGACACTGGCAAAGTCCAGCTGACCTGGCACCTAGGGCATGTCCCAGAATATTCTGCAAGGTGCAGCAACTGCTTCCTTGAAGGCAGGAAGTTTGCCATTGCTGGTTGTAGAATTCCTGCCGGAGAATCCCATCTTTGTTGTTTTTGGGTAGTAGTGGTATTACTGACTCCACACTTATTATGATTGTGTCGTAATGTTTCCGGGAGGTGTTTAATGGTATGGGACAGCCCAGTCTCATCAGATCTCAGAAGCTAAGCAGGGTCGGCACTTGGATGGGAGACCACCAAGGAAGATGCTGCAGAGGAAGGCAATGGCAAACCACCTCTGCTTCTCGTTTGCCTTGAAAGCCCTTTGTTGGTGTTGCCATAAGTCAGGTGGAACTTGACGGCACCTAGGAACCGTTTCTCCCAGGTGTTAATAATAGCAGAGTAGTTTGAAAAAAACACACAAGTATTTCACTCTGCCTGCTGATCTCCTCGAGTGATGACTTGACAGCTCCGGAGTCCCCCCCCCCCCAACTGACCATGGATCTTTCTCACCTCTTTTCTCAGGTTTCGGCATCACCAGCACATTCTGGGATCATCCTTTCCAGACGCTAATCCCGGAGGAGACCTTTGAGAAAGAATACTAGCAACTCCTGCTGTTCTCCTGTGTGGTCATCAGTGGGATGTGTGTGTGTGTGTGGGGGGGGGGTTGGTTTTTTTTTTTGCAGAACTGTGGGACTTTTGGAGGGTTGAGACCCTAGAAGAGATGACCGTGGTTTCTGTTTTCACTGCTTTCTGTGACCTTGTGATTCTGTGCAGGGTATTAAATGCTTCCGGGAGGCAGGATGCCTTATGAGGCCACTGAAACCCTGGGGTCCCGCAGAGGCTAATGGAGGGAAGGCTGTACTTTTGTCTTGTAGCTGGGATAAGAGGCTGGGAAAGGGTCAAAGGGACTCCTGCAGAGGGCTCTGAAAGATCCCAGAATGGCTCTTTCTTTTTAAAGTCTACGCAGTAGCTATCTTGACAGGGAACGCATATCCCATGATGCAGTCCACTTTTTTGGGTGGTGGTTGAAGGGTGGTGCAGTGGAACAAGGGAGAGGTCTGTGTTAATTCTACAACCAGCTCAGCACATCACCCACCAGTCGCCCTCTGCAGGGGGAAAGGGTCCTTGTTCCCCATAAGCAAGTCCGCTCCTTGGGTGTTTGCAATGGCTGTCCCTTTGGATCTGGATGCAATCCCCATAATGTTCAAAATGGGGTTTCATGAATTCCTTGGGTTTATTAAGCTAGTGCAACAGTTAGCTGGAGCTGGGTGAGATCTAAGAGGCCGGTTCAGTCCAGCCCTCGTGTCCCAAGAAAGGGCCTCCTGCGCATGGATGCCCTCAATCGGTGCCTTTCCCATCACTCATACACTTCCTTCTCGATTTGGAGTTTGGAAGCGGTACGGTGCAACATGTGCCTCCCGTTCGACATCTGTAGGGGGTTGGCAGGGCTTTGGGTTGTGGATTGCAGTGGATGAAGGCAGGGAGGGAGGGAGAGAGGGAGGATAGGAGCTTGGCCGGGTAGGGGGAGAAGAGAATATCCCAAGAACTGAACAAATTGAAAGAAGTGTGGGTTCCCCCTCCAAAAAATACAAACCTGCGTTCCAGACAATGTGACCAAAATGATAGATTTGTAGAATTACACAGAAATTACACTCTGCTGTGGTCAAATGCAAACAGCATCCAAAAATATGCTGTGGGCTGCTATACATTCAGTTTGGTGTAGTGGTTAGGAGTGCGGACTCTAACCTGGGAGGACCAAGTTAGATTTCCCACGCCTCCACGTGCAGCTGCTGGTGGGTCAGTTACAAGTTCTTTTAGAGCTGTTCTCTCAAGAGCTGTCCTTTAAAGAGTTCTCTCAGCCCCACCTACCTCACAGGGTGTCTGTTTTGGGAAGAGGAAGGGAAGGAGATTGTAAGTCGCTCTGAGACTCCTTTGGGTAGTGAAGGGCAGGGTATAAAAATCCAATTTCTTCTTGTTTTGACCTTATCAGACAACTGGGATTCTGGATTTATTGTTTATTTTTCACAGCCTATTCATTCTGAAAACCGTATCAGGCTCTTCCTGAGCTGCATTCTGAATCCATTATACTTCACACACACACACACACCCCCCTGATTACTGTCTGATTACTGATTACCAGTCCTACTCGTTCCATAGCTTGCAGAGGGCCACATTCATGTTGCCATCAATCAAAAGAGCCTCTGGTGGCAGGTGCCACATTGAGGAACAGTGCTCAGAAGAGCCACAGGTGACTCACGAGCTGCTCAGTATCACTGCCATAACCCAGTTTTGTGTACATTTTGGACTGAAAAGTTTCAGTGCTGGTCATCAACTGAGATTGCAAACGAGCAGCACTTCGTGTAATTCTACAGTGTATCAGTTTTGTCCTGTTAATCGGCTGGGGTCTCTTGGATGTGGGTTGGGAAATCCCAGGAGATTTGAGGGTGGAGCCTGGGGAGGGTGGGAGTTCAGTGGGGTAGTGTGCCACAGACTCCACCCTCCAAAGCAGCCATTTTCTTCAGAGGAATTGATCTCTCTAGGCAGTTGTAATTCTGAAAGATCTCCAGCTCCTACCTGGAGGTGGCAACCCTTGATGGAACTGTCTTTGCAGCCAACCACACAGCTTGCGTTCCTGGATCTCCACAACGCTAAGCAATGTTGTGTGGCCTCTCCTCAGTCCAATACGGTGCCCCTGTCCTACAGCAGCTATGCAACTGGCAACCTGGCAGGGGTTGTGTGCGCCCTTATTGTATCCAAGTGAGGGGAGCTGGCAGCCCTGGGTTGTCATTTGCCAGTGACTCCAGGAGCCAGAGGGCCGCGTTCTCATGGGGTGGAGGGATAAACGCAAGAGGGAAGAGTTCGAAGGGTTCTGTCGTCTACCCTGTAAGACTAGGATACCCTCTTGTATCAATGTCTGCCCCTTGGAGTCAAACCGCAGCAGGGAGGGAGATATGTGTGACCCCTGGCTCCTGTGAAAGAGGCAATCATGTCCTCATCTCTTAAGAGGTGCTCCCTTGCTGCAGAATTTTTCTCCACCAAACTGTGCCTTACAGCAAATTTGCTTCTTGACCTATGCCACTCCGAGAGACCTGTTCCTGATAGTGGGTATCTATCACTTGTCCCTTCCCCTCTCCCCCCCCCCCCATGGGAAAGTAACATGTACAGAAGCAAACCGTTATGGTTCTTCCGGGGGGGGGAATCTGGAGCCACTTCCTTGCATCCACATGGCACACACACTACTGGCTACACATGAATCTTCCTCCTTTTTTCTCCCACAAGGACCCCAGGGTCCCTAGACAGGGAGGAGGCTTCCTCTCTTAAGAACCAAAGCAAAGCAATGTCTGCTCTCCCATCCTACTTCATAAGGTAGTCAACGCTAGGGTAGTTCTGGGGAGAAACAGAACGGAGTCAGACTGGCAACTCGGCAGGGATGCTCTTTCAAAGAGGAGTCTGGAATAAGGCCTCCCCTTTGCCTTTAACTTCTCTCTGTGAGCATCTTGTGCCATCAGCTTTTATACCAGTCTAATTATCATTCTGGCTCGCAGAGAACTTTGGCAGTTTCCTTTTGGAAAAAGGCATCAGGACGTTTGAGAGTATCTCTGTTTAGTGATCATTCTAGCAAGTCTGTTGTGTAGGTGGTACAGAAGTTGGTATCTTGATGGCCTGTTAAACTGAAGCAGTGGTGTACCGTTCCACCTGCGTGGTATTTTACGAACTCACACGAAAGCATCCAATCCAGCCTTTTTCCAGGACCTTATTTGCATCATTTAGGAATGGACTTTACAGCTAGCTACCCATGCTGGACTTGGTGCTATACTAGCTGGTCCCATGGCACCCACAGGGAACTCTTGCTTCCAGGCAGGTTTCTCCCAGTTCTTTAGGGGCCTAACTCCAAGCCCAATGGCATCTTCTCTCCCCACCCCCCAAAAAAAAGACAAGCTGCAATTGATGTCCTTCCAAGTGCTGCTGTGTTCTCTTTCCTCTCTCCTGGGACCTCAAACAGTAAAGCTGGTTGAGGGAAGGACTGTGACCACTGGGCCTCAGGACCACAACGTGCTTTCTTGCTGCAGTTTGAAATTTTTAAACAAGCCACATAGTCTGTTTCTTGCCTTCTCCCCATATAGAGAGAACATTCCATGGGGTTGGGGAGGCCCTGTCTTTTCTAACCATGTGCACACATTCCTACCAGCGCCTGTGCCTTAATGGTTTTGTAAACCTTTTAAGAAAAAAACAAAAACATTCCAATGAAAGTCATTGCAAAGAGGTGCATTCCTCTCTCTCCCCTTTTTGTTGCAGAAATATTTAAAATCTGGAATACAGTCATATATTAAAACAAAACATCAACATACCTGACATAATTGTACATAAATTGTGTATATTTTGGAAAATAAACATTTTTATGTGTGTGGTACTGCCCTGTTTGTGTGTGGCTTTTCTTCCAAGCAAGTGAGATTTCCTAGCAGTTTTGCTGTACAACTGGCTAGACGTACCGAGGCCTGAGATCAGGCGATGACCAGCAGAAACCACAACACATACAGCCTTTCAAATAGTGCTAAGCAGGGCTCTAGTCGGGGGGGAGCTCTCAGGTACGGAGCTCCGGAAGAGAACCTCTAGGGGGCGGGGCAGTCACGTGGTGAAGCCCCGCCCCCTTCTTTACCCCGCCCTCTGCTTCGATCCTCATTCCGTTTGGGAATGAGGATGAAGCAGGAGGGTAAGTAGCCGGGCCTTCTGACACACTTCCGGTGATGTCAGGGGGTGTGGCCTTCTGTCACTTCCGGTGATGTCAGGGGGCGTGGCATATGCAAATAAGTTATGCTAATGAGTTATGCTAATGAGCTCCGGCAGCTCTTTTTCTACAACAAGACCCCTGGTGCTAAGTCTTTGTCTGACATGAACTGGCAGCCAGAGCGCACTTATTTGGCAAGATGGGTACAGTCCCTGTTGCGGCTCATGTTAGGGGAGCTGAGGCTCAGTGACAGAATACCCGTGTTTCACACCAAAGTTTTCCACGCCCAAGATGCTGGAGGTCCACTGGCTGTCACAGAAAACAATACTGATCTAAAGGAACCAATATGGCTGCCTTGGTATAAGGAATATGTTACCGGTTAACATACGAGTCCTTTTTGTATGAGAGCCAGTTTGGTGTAGTGGTTAAGAGTGGCAGGTGGCAGACTCTAATCTGGAGAACTGGGTTCGATTCCCCACTCCACTTAAAAGCCAGCTGAGTGACCTTGGGTCAGTCACAGTTCTCTCAGCCCAAAAAATAAACCTAGCTCACCACAAAAAGAGCTAGGGTTTCAGGCTGCCAGACAATCTTCAGACCTCCTGCCTGTACTACCCCCACTGCCATATGATAATTAATTCTTTTTGTATACCAAGTCCACAAGGATGGGGTTTTTTTGCGGTAAATATGCCAAAGCGTTCTCTTGCCAAGGCATTCTCTTTTGCATTACTTCTGTTTCCTGGGTTCATGAGCAGAGGAGAAAGGTTAACTCCCATAGAGTTTCAGCACCACCTCGTGGTCAGTTGCTATAACTACTACTACTCTAGGTAAAATAAAGTGTCATAAATTGCAGATCCATAACAATAGGGTCAAGCTCTGCAGCCAGCCAGTTGGCTGTGCCTTGTAGAACACAGAGGACAAAGGCAGCTTTTTTGGAGGCCACTTGTCAGTATAATTGGCCCAAGGCGGTTCTGTATTTTTTGTTACATTGAGCCTTGTCCCCAAGTAATCAGTAATTTCACAGACTGTAACCGTTTTCTCAGAAACAAAAATAAAACTCAGCATCCGCAATGAGATTTGGTGCTTCATTACATGGTCCTGCAGAAACAAACACATACAAAATGTACTCTTGGAAACCAACATTCCGAGGGGGGTTTTAGCCCCATGTCAGCAGCCTTTTCAGTCCCCCAGATTTTGAGGGCAGACTGCGTTTAAGGTCAAAGCACGCTGTCACAAACTGCCTCTCCCAAGTCAGCTGGATCAGTATTTACCCCACTGAGAAAACTTTCATGTACTGGTTCCCTTGGGGCTATTGCCGTTTGGGAGTCTGGTGCTGAGGAAAAGGATTAAATCCTGTCTCCGTTCTTCCAAACGGGTCCCTCCTCCCCCGGGTTCAACAGAAAATAGCCAGCATGTCCAGTGGGCAGGTTCCTGGGTGTCCTCATAAACAATATATTGTAATACGAGGCACCATGTTCTTTACCCACTGATGTTTACTTGGGAATTCAGATGGCATGTTTCTTTTTTTATTATTCTCGAGCCCCTTGCCACTCTGTTATGTGACTTTCATAAGTTCATTTCCCATCTTTTCTACCATCTGGGCACATAGCCTGAGAAAGTGTTCTGGTAGGTGCCCATTTTCATGGACGTGACTCCGTCACAGCCCAGGTCCAGCACAGGTATTAAGGCATTCATTTGTTGCTCTGAAACACTGTGTTCACTCTGTAACCTGAACCCATTCAGTTTCTATTAACTCTCTACCTGCTGCCTTATCATCATAATGCAAAACAATACAGCTAATTGAGGCCCGCTTTGAGCTCTGGAGGAGGGGGGGCATACTGCCAACACCTCTGCATGTTCTGGAGGAACAGCAGGCAGGATGAAGGAGAAGATCTCCATAAGAGCATCCAAAACTGGTTTCACACAAGCATCTATTCTGGAATTGTTATGGTCTAGTGACAACGGGTGTGGCTGATGTGGCCAACCTACTGCATCCTCTGCTCCTCTCGCCTGCACTTCAAGTGACATTGCACACACCAAGCACCCATGTGTGGACTGGGAAAGCACCACTGCCCCTTTAAATCTTCTTGCCGCCTTGAGAGCTTCCCAATCACCCCATTACATCCTCACTCCGCAGCGGAGATCAGAAGCAACCTGGGAGGGAGGGACCAAGTATTCCTTTAAGGCATTAAAAAAAGATGCTTGGAAGTGCAGAATTACAGCAACGAAGTAGCCATCACATAGTGTAGCCAAGCGAAGCACAGAAACTGAAGACTCTCAGTCCCAAAAGGACCAGACAGAGGAGAATCAAAGGCTGCTTTTATAAAAACAGAAGAAATGAGGTTTCAAAGAAGGAGGGAAGAAACTCCCCTCCCCTTCTAATACTTCACTGCCTCTAGTTTAGGACACCCTCTGATTGAGAGCCAGCACGGACTCTAACCTGGGAGAACCGGGTTTGATTCCCCACTCTTCCACATGCAGCTGCTGGTGTGACCTTGGGTCAGTCGCAAGTTCTCTCAGAGCTGTTCTCTCACAAGCAATTCTTGAAAGAGCTCTCTCAGCCCCAAATACCTCACAGGGTGTCTGTTGTGGGGAGGGGAAGGGAAAGGAGATTGTAAGCAGCTCTGAGACTCCTTTGGGTAATAAAGGGCGTGGTATAAATCCAATCTCCTCCTCTTCTCTAGGTGGTGTAATTATTTCCTAAAAGATTTTTTAATTGTTACTTTCACTGGGGGGGGGGGGGGGGAGTGGACAGAAGCTCCAATTACTACATTTCAACATTTGGTTATTCTGTTCACTGCAACTGTGCCATACTAAGCAAAAATTTAAAACTAACGATCACATTTTCTGCAAACAAAGGAGGACAACTTAACCAACCCCTCCCACTTCAAAGAATCCATCACTGGTCTACCACCATGGAACAACAACAAAAATAGTATACTACCTGTGAAGCCGCCAGCTAATTGGCAACACCACCACCAGTGCCAGGCAAACTACCATGCTGGTTAAGATAACGAGGGTGTGTGTCATATTATGATTATCAGGGTTATTTACAGCGTAAATGCCCACTGATTTCAACGGATTTAGTTCAGACTAAGTTTGGAGGAAACAGAAGGGGCGCACTAATCACAGAGATTAAAAAATAGGCACATGGTGCAAATGAAGAAAATACTTGAACAAGAAAACGTTCTTCATTCACACCATTGGCCTGTAGGCCTGTTTTCATCCTAGAGCTAAGTCTGCACAGGACTGCACTGTTTGTCCTTCAGAAGCTCATCACTGCAATGTTATTGTATGTAAGGTTCCCTATAAGATAATGCTTTTGTAGCTGTTGTTTCACAAGCGAAATCACAACATCAGCTAAAGGAGGACGGAACATCCCTGAAGCGATGGACAGGAGTCAGACAGCTCTCTTCACAACTTTAATTCTGAAACCTCCAATTGTGTCAGCAGGAGGGGACATTGAGTGAAAATATGCTCACACATTGTGAGGACGTAACCCCACAATCATTCCCCCACCCACCTTCTAATTATGCTTTTGCGATTCTGCATTTGGCACACATTAAATAAAATTCCTTGGATGGCAGCACAGCATGGCATGGCAGCACCTGGTGCTGCCCTAGTGGTCTTGAGTAAATACAGGGCCAACTGCCAGTGCAGACAGCCCTGTTGCTTAGTGGGCACACCATGAGGGCCAGTGCGTTGGTGTTAAGAACCACTAAAGTTCATAACTCTATGCTGAAGATGTATCTGCTACATGAAAGCTAGTACGGAATGCAAGTCTTCCCTTTTTTAAGCACACAGTGGTCCATCTGCCTTCCGACTGCCCCTGCAAAGTCCTTCTGTGTCCAAGTTTTGCCAGCAGAACAAGGAGCCTGAAAGCTGCCCAACAGCTGTGTGCCAAAAGGAGGCTTTGATACCGCCCCCCTCTCAGGCATCGTGTAGGTTGTTCTCGTTCAGGAGGATCTTCTCCCCGGGTTTAAAGGCTGGCATGCCCGCATAAGGGCAGCTGGCGCAGCGGAACGCATCCCCCAGGTAACACTGCAAAGAGGAGACAGAAATGGAGTCAGCTTCACTCCAGAGGCAAAGCACCACAGCAGAAAGGGGCTTGCATATCTTTATATAGAGAGATATCCTTGCTTATATTATAGAAACGATTTGGGGTGGCCACGTTCCATGCGCTCCCGCAGCCATTGGCCTGTCAGCTGCCACTCAACGGGACTTGCGTGCCACTGGCCGGGTGCTCGGTCTGAGGGGGCCAATCCCCTGGCTGCATCGCCTCCCTCCATCGCCTCAGTCCTGCCCACAGACCCACCGGCCGGTCTCTCGCTCCCAATCTGCAGGGAGCCGCTGGCCAGGATGGACGCTTCCCTGGCAGACCAACTGGCCTCGGGGATGGGGGGGGGAGACAGCCACGCAGCGCTCCCCTGGGAAAGCGTGGCCTTTCCCAGGTCATCCATGGAACCTGCTTCAGGGGGTGGCCCCACCGGCCTTCCCTGCGTTGCCCACTTCCTCGCTGTCCCACCGACATGGCCTTGGGGAAGGGGGAAACGGCCACACCGCATTTTCCTGGCCTACCATGGCCTGGCCCAGGGAGGCCACGTGCCCTGCTTTGGGGGGGGAGGCCCTGCCAACCTTTTCTGTGCCACCCCTGGCCTCGCTGGCCAAGCGGCGCAGCCCGACTGGCCTCGGGAAGGGGGGAGGCAGCCACACCACGCTTCCCTGGGCCGCCACCGCAGGCCGGGCCGCTCTCCCACACCCTCTCTCTAGAGACCGTTGCCTTTTTCTCTGCAACGGACCTTATTGCTAATAGATATATAACTCCAAAACTTTTGTTAAAACACATTTCATAAGACTTTTTAGTGTTCAGCTTCCAAGTGCCGGTTTAGACTCAAAGCATGTCATAAGCACAGCCAGCTCCCATCGGAGGCAAAATTCTTTACTTGCTGCTTGGACACCTCCAGGAGGATGTTAACTCCATCAGAAAAAAGAAAGAAAACAAACCCCACAGTAGCTCAGTGACCTCCAACATGGTCCCCACTGATGTGTTTCCTGGTGCCCACGTGCTTCTTCCCCGTGCAAAAAGCCAGTCCCTTACTGAAGTAGGCAGGATTTCAGAAGAGCTGGGAGTGGATTTTGGGAACAGTTGCCTCCATCACAGGAGGATGTTTTGACTCTTGATATTTTGTTGAGTCTCCCGATGTTTTGTGACTGGCCCCATCCCCATCATAGTAGCCATGTTTGTGGCAACATCTGCTACTTGTTCTCCAAATTCCAGAAACTGCCCACAGGTTCCACAAGACCAGGAACCCCTGCCCTAGTCAGACAGCCACTAGTGGCTTGGTTTCTATACTGGGGCAACCCTTAGGCCAAACCTACTAGGCTAAGCCAGCCAAGGACAAGGGAGACAGTGAATGGAGCTTCATTTCCTGTGCCGCTGTCACTCCACGTGTGGCCATTTCCTACAAAGGACGTTACTTCCATGTAGCAAACTACGTGCCACTTGTAAAGAATACACAGGTGTTTGTTTTGCCCATGGAGCTCCATAATGCATGTATACATGGTGAAGGACACCAGACTTGAGAAAACCTACCCTCCCTCAGTATAAGAGTTCATACTGCATGTATACATGGTGAAGGACACCACAGAAAACCTACCCTCCCTCAGTATAAGAGGTCATCCAATGAAACAGCCAAGGAATAGATTCAGAACAAGCAAAAAGAAAGCGAAGAGCTTCTTCAAGCAACATGTAATTCGCTTACGGAATTTAGTGCTGCAAGATCCAGCAATGACGACTATCTTAAGATCGCTTTCAAAAGGGACTAGACAAATTCATGGGAGAACAAACTTTGTCAACCACTGTTTGGTGTGATGGTGAGATGGTCAGACTCAGAGGCAGTGAGATCTCTCAGTCCCAGCTGATGGGTTTGCTAGAGGCTACTGTGAGAAACAGCATGCTGGACCAAGGTGCAGATTTGATCTGATGCAGTAATATTCTTTGTTTTATGACACTGCAACCATACCTGCAAGGTATTTGCTATTTCCTACGCTGAAGTGTAAAGGAAATCTGCAAGGGTGGTGGTGGAGTAGTGGTTAAGGTGTCAGGAGAGCACCAAGCCTACCCAGAGTCAAATCCCCAGTCAGCCTGGAGCTCCCTGGATGACTTTTGGCCAGTTGCACTCAGTCTCTCTCTCAGCCAAACCTACCTCGCTGCGACTGCATGAGGGTAAGATGGAGAACAGTAGAAGGCTACCCTGAGCTCCTTGGAGAAAGGCAAGATAAAAATGAGCGAATACACACAAACACATGTAACCACCTTAAGCAGCTGGCATTAAATCCTAAACACATCTGGGGTGTTTTTAAAAAGCCTCTAAGAACAGTTTAGTGAATGTGCATCCTTACATTTCCACAAGCAGATTTTGGCACCGGGTTATTCTTCTCCTTCTCCTTCTCCAGCTCTTCAGCAAGGCCACATGTACTACAGAAGGAACAAGAGTTATACTGGTCTGTTGGACAGAGTACCTGTTACCCAGCAGCTTCCAACGCAAAGAGGTGTGGGACTGCCATCGACACCCTTGTACAGAAGATACCTTGCACACTCTGGGAATGGACACACATTGGACTGGTTCCTGATCTGCCCTTCTAAAAATAGCAATAAGGAGTGGAGATGTCTGGATTCAAATCCCCACTCAGCAACAGCTGTTATCAGGTGATTTTGAACATTTCAGCCTAACCTACCCACACAGGAGCCCCGTGTACACATTACAATGAACGCATGTACGATCTGCACACAGATTTTATATGTCCAGAGTATTTCTTACATTACATTCAGTGCTTGTACAGCTGAAAGTGTGATTTAAACCCCATATTTAGCCAGGTACTGTTCTCCAGCTTTAAAATGAGCCCACATTGGTTCTTTCTTATGAATAGATATAAGCAGGATGTACACACATTCACTGTAACATGTGAGCGAGTCCAGAGCTGTTGTGAGGTCTCTATGTTTTAATCTAGAAGATGTTTAATTCAAACAGATCCTTGGCTACGTTTAGTCTGAAGGCCCACTGATTTCAATAAAGCTTCATCCCACATTTGAAGGACTGCGGCACGAGTCTCAGTATTTCATGGCTGCATCCTTTCCTACACCTTGTTGAAGTGCTTTGCTACCTTTTTAAAGAATGCACACGTGTGCCCTGGAACTGATCACAGGTTAACTGTTAAAGCACAGGGATGTTAAAGAAACTCCATTTCACCAGAAACTCTATTTCCCAAAAAGCCAAAATGACTAAGCTGAGTTCTGTCGTACTTTGGTCGCATCACAAGAAGACAAGCCTCACTGGAACAGACAATAATGCTAGGAGAACTGAAGACAGCAGTGAAAGACCTAAGACGAGACGGATTGATTCAATAAAGGAAGCCGTGGCTTTCAGTTTGCAACACCTGAACAAGGTTGTTAATTATAGGACGTTTTGGAGGTCATTAATTCATAATGTTGCCATAGACTGGAAGCGACCTGATGGCACTTGACATGCACAACGACACACTTCACTTAACTTTAGAAACTAATACCAAGATAAACATCAAAAATTGAGAGGATGTGCACCTACACTTGAGAGACGTGTGCACAGCTCAACTTCATTTCCAGCACTTTGAACTCCTATTCTAAACAGCGTCCTCTCACCCCAGAAGACTCACCCCCTCCCAAAGACCTGTATAAAGGAAGCCGTGGCTTTCAGTTTGCAACACCTGAACAAGGTTGTTAATTATAGGACGTTTTGGAGGTCATTAATTCATAATGTTGCCATAGACTGGAAGCGACCTGATGGCACTTGACATGCACAACAACACACTTCACTTAACTTTAGAAACTAATACCAAGATAAACATCAAAAATTGAGAGGATGTGCACCTACACTTGAGAGACGTGTGCACAGCTCAACTTTATTTCCAGCACTTTGAACTCCTATTCTAAACAGCGTCCCCTCACCCCCTTCCCAAAGACCTGTGACCTCTGAAGGACCAGAGATAACATCAAAATTCAAACTCCAAATTAAAGATTCCAACCATAGGTCAGCATCCTCCTCAATCTTGGGACTCACCAGTTCTTGCAGGCTTTCCTCTTTCCAGACTCCTTGCAGGAAGGGGCTTTCAGGGAAGCGGGATCTGGCTTCTTCAAATCCTCAGAATCCAGCAGCTCATCTGAATCCAGGAGATCCTAAAAGCCAAAAGTTCAGGACATGAAAACGAAATATTAGTGTCTACATGACAACCATTTCCATTTCACAAGGATGAAGCAGAACTTTCCCTTTCCCTTTTTTCTCCTGTCTTCCAATGCAAAGCATACAAACTGGAATTGTTCAGGAGGATATTTTTATAAAGGGAAACTGCGACAGTAAAATAGAATTGTTCACGAGGGCACTATTATACAGAGAACAGGGCTGTATATTGCACAGTTTGTTGTGTTTACTATACTGTTTACAAGTCACAGCTTGTGGAGAAACGCCATTTTATGCATATGTTTAAGTTGGTGGGGGTTGGATAGGAGACCATCAAACCTGAGGTAGGCCTTGGTCTAGTCTCCTCCTCTTCCCCCCCCCTCCTTGTTCCAACCAGCAGTCAGAGGGCAGCTCCCTAGAGAGGACAGGAAGGCCGTCAAGGCTGTGAGGAGATCTGCCCCAGAATGCTGCAGGAGGAAGAGCCACTTCCTGGGCGGGAAGGGCTGTTTTATATAGTGGAGCTTTTGGCCAACTCTCCAGGGGAGCCCCAAAGATTGCCAGGAAGCCCCGTGGTGGGTTCCTAGCGACATCAGAGGGAGGCTAGGAGGCTGTCCCGCCTAACCAGAGCCCAAGACAGGGACAGTGGTGGCAGCAATACCCGGAGGCAGTGGTGAAAAACTGCCCCTTCAGGTGCCAGGTCAGGCAAAGGAGGGGTGGGCAGAGCGGGGTCGACCAGCTGATGCGGGCCCATTCTGCCACACAGCTTTTACAGTTATTGCATTGATTTCCAATTCTGTGATCCCAGTCTTTTCACATTTTCACAGTACATCTTGCCCTGTCTCTACTGTGTTGCACTGTGATTAATTTTATACTCTGCCTTGAATTTCAGCGAGTGAGACTATAAAGTAAATAAACACATGCATAATTATTTTCAGACTTACCGAGTCCTCGTCATTCGTATCATTGGCAGAAAGGGTCCAGAGCTTTGCAGCAGTGGGATCCACAGCCCGCTTTTCTGGAGACAAGAGAATAAGAAGCAATTGGGGGGCGGGGGGGGGGGACCACAGCAGTAGTGAAATGACTCCTCTCATGTAATTTCAACAAGTAAAAAAAAAGAAAAGAGGTCAAACTATTGCTGGTCTTGGGGGGTCTTTTACTGTGCTGAACGTAAGTGGTTCTATATGCTTGTTAAAAGAATCTCCTTAAATATGTTCTTCAAATGTAACCATGGAAAATCTATCGTAGTGCACCCGGGATAATTCTCTCATTGATTGTTGAGCAAATTGAGAACACAGCCCAACAAATAAGTTAGCAAAAACCAGCTCCGAAAGGATCTTTCCAAATGAGCTGAGTAGGCAACAACAGGGCAAATGTGGTTCAATTAACATAAGCATAAAGTGATGCTCACTGCAGCAACTCTACCAACTTTACATATATGCTGATGAGGTTTAAACTGCAAGGGATAAGGAGGAAGGACCTCTGTGGTGGGGAGTGGAAGCCTCGACTTCATGTGTGGCAGTGATGGAAAAGAAGGCTAACTGCATGCTAGGAGCATCAAGAAAAGGACTGAAAACAAGACTGCCACTACTGTAATGCCCTCATGTAGATCTACAAAGTAATCACATATGGAATAAAGTCTCCACAAATCGAAAAGGTTATCAAAGCTAGAAAAGGTGCCAAAAATGGAGGGGGGGCAATGAATGTGATCAAAGTGCTGGAGCACTCTCCCCACCAGGAAAAATTAAAGAGTTGGGACTTTTCAGTTTAGAAAAAAAGGGGCTAGGTAATAGAGATGGTGGTCATTCATAAAATTTTGCATAGTCTGGAGACAGTGGAAATAGAACTTTTTTCTTCCTCTCATAAACTCTCAGGGACTAAAGAAAGGACTTCACACAAAACTAACACACCTTGCAAAACTCACTATTACAGATACAGTCTCTAGCATGGGTGGCTTTAAAAGGGGATGAGATAAATTGTGCACACAATGGCTAGACAGCTTTCATGTTTACCTCTGAATGCCTTTTTCTGGAGGGAAATAAAGGGGGGACAGGGACCTCTGGTTTCAACTTAGAGCCCTATATGGCCTGGACTCCACATGTTACTTAAACTGACTTCTCTCTAATGTCCTAAGAATAATTCTGGTGAGATGAGTGTCGCTGAGCCCCCACCCTCTATGAAACCATCAGGACAGTTGTGGTGTCTATGAAGGCATTGCTGGTGGTTGCTCCACAGCTATTAACCCGCAGGTCACAAGAAGTCGAGCATTTTCTGGAATCATTACAGGACCGGGGGGAGGTGAGATGAAGCCTGCAGGAACAGGTAGATTTGGCATGCTATGTTCTAGCCACTACCTGAATTTTCAAGGGGGAAAATATATATATAAAGGAAAGCAAGGTGTTGTTCACATAGCAGAATAGAGCCATAAGATTCCACCCAAGATGGTTTAGTTATAATGTGTTTACCAGTCATGAACCACTGAATTCAGTTGGTATACAAGGAGGGCTGGCCTGGAGTCTCTCACCCCCAATTTAAGTGTGCAGATGGACTTATCACATTCAGACAGACTTCCACAATACAGTAGGACTCTCACACAACTGATGAAGACCTGCTTCAGACTCAGAATTATGGTGCTAGTCACTGAAAAACCCCATTTCACCTGACACCATTAAAATCCACCCATGTCACCCATCTCTTGCATCCAAGTTCTGCTCCTTGGCCAAAAGGACATATATAGCTGATACAAGTTAAACGGGAGTGCCACTCTTATTTGACATTTTTCTTTAAGTGTCAATTCTGCATCTCCAGGAATTTCTTACTTCCTGTATGCTTTGAAAGGCAGCCTGCTGCCTTAACACACAAAGCTCAGTGCCACTGAGGGGTGACATGATTGAGGTTTACAAGATTATGCATGGGATAGAGCAGGTAGAGAAAGAGGTACTTTTCTCCCTTTCTCACAATACAAGAACTCGTGGGCACTCAATGAAATTGCTGAGCGGTCGGGTTAGAATGGATAAAAGGAAGTACTTCTTCACCCAAAGGGTGATTAACACTTGGAATTCACTGCCACAGGAAGTGGTGGCGGCTACAAGCATGGACGGCTTCAAAAGGGAGTTAGATAAGCATATGGAGCAGAGGTCCATCAGTGGCTATTAGCCACAAGGTATAGATAGGGACTCTGGGGCAAGTGATGCTGTCTTCTTGGTGCTTGGGGGGGGGGAACAGTGGGAGGGCTTCTAATGTCCTGGCCCCACTGGTGGACCTCCTGATGGCACCTGGTATTTTTGGCCACTGTGTGACAGAGTGTTGGACTGGATGGGCCTTTGGCCTGATCCAACATTGGCGTCTCTTATGTTCTTATGTTATGTTCACTGTGGGTCTGAAGATGCTCTCAATGTGTCTACTAGGTTATTGCAAGTTGTTTTTAATAAAGGTGGTCACTGTCAGGCAGGCAATTCTTTGGAACATCGCAAGGTTCTGAGGAACACTGTGTTATACCCTAGAGAGAACAGAGGACCATGCTTTCAAAAGTCACCTTTCCAGCATCATCTAGGCTATTATTATGCCTCCTACTGAAGAATTTAATAAGTTCAGATCTTTATCTGTTTTATTTTTATTCCACCCTTTCCCTAAGAAACTCAGGATGACATTGATGGCTCTCTCCCTGTCGCTCTACCCTCACAACAACATCATCATTTAGTCACACACTCTCTCTCCCAGCGTGATCCGCTGTCACCCAGTGACCTTCATTACATGGTGGAGAATTTCAACCCAAGGTTTCCCAGATCTCATTTGAAACTTTTACACCACACTGATCTCTACAGCTGTATGCATCAGCCCACAATGCAAAGAAGGGAGGCCTCCATCCACTTCTCTCTTACCAGATGGAACAGCTTTTTTGACAAAAGAAAGTCTGAGCTGACTCGAGGAACCCACTTCAAAGTTGGGCTTCTTGCCTTCTATCTCAACAAAGACGAGTTTGTTACACTGCAGCCCTAGCTTCTCCTGGATAGCCCGTGTTTGTTCAGATGTTAAAGGTTCTTTCTGCAACTGGAACACAAGACAAAGCAACTTGTTAACGCAGAGCTCAAATCCAACTTGCCTAGCGGAAGGCCCCAGCTTGCATAGTGGAAACATCACAAATTATACCTATTAAATAAATAAATAAATGACTATTGGTTTTAAAAGTTATCACTATTAAATAAATAAATGACTATTGGTTTTAAAGCATGCTGTTAGCCACCTTGGGCTATCCTATAAAAGCATGACATAAACTTTTAATATAAATTATGCTAATGTGTTTTTAAAGGAATTTTCCCCAATCCCAAGTAAAGCATTTCAATATTAATTCTGCTCGATACATATCCACCCAAAATTTGTTGTAAAAAGCACTGTGGATCCCTTTCACATACCTCCTTCACTTCCACCAGTCCAGAGAGTGTCAGAGCTGTGGGGAGCTTGGTTATTGCCTTGAGCTTGCTGTTGTTACCTGGGCAATGTAAGACAGGGAGGGGGAAAAGCCCATAATTAAGAAGAGGGTGTGGTGCACTGAACTTGAAAATCCAACAGGATTTCAGAAAGATAGAAACACTTGAGCCTGCCTTTTGTTTAGATACTTCTAAATTACTTCAGGCACTACTAGAAAATGACCTATCTGTTAAGGAAACTGAATCATTCACAGGATCTCTCTAACATAATTCAACATTTCCAGCAACAGCAAACTCTATAACAGCTGTTTCAGGTGGGTGGCTATGTCAGTTTGCAGGAGAAGAGCAAGGTTCAAGTTCAGTGGCACCTTGAAGGCCAACAAAATTTCCACACTATAAGCTTTCAAGACCCTCAAAAGTTTACACCTTGGAAATCTTGTTGCTCTCTGAAGGCTGAATCCCAAGAGCTCTCCGGCAGTTATCAGGCCCATCGTCGTGTTTATCCTGCTCACCAGCACTGTGTTTCACAGGAGCAGGATTAGAAATCTGCTAAAAAGACATGTCAAGAAGTAGTGGGCTTGCTAGCTCTCCACCAGCCCTGACCACAGAAAGGGTTTGTAGTGGGCTCGCTAGCTTTCCACCAGCCCTGACCACAGAAAGGGTTTTTCCTGTGCTGTCACTTTTATAGCTTGTGCACTGACACAGGACTTGCACTACCTTTGCATCTGACCACTGATTCTTGGCTGCTGTTGAACTTAAAGCCAGTTCTTCGATTGCATTGGTGACCTACCCCATACCTAAACACTCACACCTGAGCTGTGTCTCCAAACCACACTGCTAACCATTAGGGTCAAGTGACTGTCACCCTGCCATCTCAGTTCCATTTATATTTGTCCCTCATTACATTCAGGAAGGACCATCTTCAAAGTGGTGTAACTTGACTTGGGCTGCACAACTTCTGGCACTTATTATGACAACCAGATGTTTTCAATACAGGCACGGCAGAGCCAGCACTGAGCAAATCAACTTCAAGTCAGCACTGACCCATTGTATACTTGATACTTTCATCTTCAAGTTGCCCAGTACCCAGTTAACAGCTCTTTTGCTTCTCCTTCAGCTAGTTTTTTTACACCCATTGTTCAAGAGCTAGAAGAGGACTCAACTCCATACCTGTTTCTGCTGTCACCACCTCCTTCAAAAGGACACGACCGCCAGGCTTGATGATCCGAGCTATTTCAGCCAGTACTTGGGCACTATGCACCGTCAGACTGCCAGGTACCACGCCTGACAGAACTGTATCAAACCTTGACTCCTTGTGGGATGCTAAGAAGATAAAATGTGTATGTATCCAGTTCAGAAGATATCCATTCTATGCTCTTTCTCCTTACATATGTCTACTGCAGAAATAATTGACAAGGCGGCACAGTGCTGGTAACTTGGAGAGAAATCGGAATGGCTTTGGGAAAACATTGCTAGGATGACCCCTTGAAAGATTCACCTGCAGCTCGTTTTCAAATGGCATCAGCTGACAACCAAGCAAAGCTTCCAGCCCTCTTTTTGTCTATCAGGCAGCCTGAGAACTCTGCACAAGGCTGCACTGTAGTGCACTGGCTGTCTTCCTGCACATGTGTGCCAAAAACCAGAATTATGCTGTGCAGGTAAGCCAAGGATATTTATTTATTTGTTCGACTTATATCCCCCCCCCCCACTGGAGGAGGCTCAGGGCAGCTTACATAAAAAGTTAAAAACACATTAAAACAATACAAAATAAAACATAATTAGTCATAACCAGTGTTCTCTCTAAACTGAGTTAGTGTGAGCTAGCTCACAGTTTTTTAGCCTCCAGGTCACAGTTTTTTGTCTTAGCTCAGGAAGGATGGCTCCAGAGCAAACAGATTGCCCCTATCCCCTCCATTGTTCTCTATGGTGGGGAAAAAGTAACATTTTTTCCTACCGTAGAGAACAATGGATGAGATGTGGCAACCAGTCTGAGGGCCCGTAGAATTGGTCCAATGTTCTTGAAACTTGGTATCTTGGGGAGAGGCTCCAGCAGCTACCCTGCGAGTTTGGAGCCTCTCCCTCAAACCCCCTCCCCTCCAGAATATACCCTATGTTTTCGCCATTGACTTCAATGACTCATAGGATATAATGGGGCTAAAACTGACATTCGGCTGGAAAGACTCCAGAATGGGCTCCTACTGGCGAAATTGAAATTGACATGAAGGAGTCTTTATGCCAGCAGAAATTGATTCTGCCCGAATCCGGCAGAATTTTTTTTTTTTGCACACCCCTAGTTGGGAGTTGAGCTTATCTAACCCATTTATACTGACAAGCACAGGCTGCTGATGGTGGGCCCAGGTGGTGGTGGGGGAACGGTCTAGTCCCAGTACAGTTGTTAAATGTGGCTCCTAATTAAAGGCCTGGAGGAAGATCCCTGTCTTGCAGGTCCTGTGGAACTGCAGAAGGTCCCACAGGGCCCTGATGTCTTCTGGGAGCTCATTCGACCAGCATGGAGCTGCCACTGAGAAGGCCACTGGCCCGCCCCTGGCCCTGGTTGAGGCCAGCCTGGCACCTTTGGGACCAGAGAGGGCCAGACAATTTTGAGACCCTGAATGCAGTGCTCTCTGGGGAACATGTGGGGAAAGGCCTCAGGTGTGTAGGTCCCTGACCATACAGGGCTTTAAAGGTAAGAACCAGCACCTTGAAGCGAATTCGGTATGCTACTGGCAGCCAGTACAAGTGCTTTCAGCACAGGCTGGATGTGTTCCTGCATAGGGAGACCCATCAGGAGCCTGGCTGCAGCATTTTGCACTAGCTGTAGCTTCCAGATTCGCGACAAGGGGAGCCCCATGTACAGAGCATTACAGTAGTCCAATCTCAAGGTAACCATCGCATGGATCACTGTTGCCAAGTCATTGCGCTCAAGGAAGGGAACCAACTGCCTAATCAGCTGACGGTAGTAAAAGGCTGACTTGGCAGTGGCTGTTACCTGGGCCTCCATTGTTAAGAAGGCATCAGGAGCACTCCCAAGATTTTAACCTCCGGTGTTGGCACCAGCAGAGCTCCATAGAAGGTCAGGTGTGGGATCTCTAACCCTGGGCCACTCCGACTCAGGCACGGGACCTCTCTCTTCTTGGATTCAATTTCAATCAGCTCAGTCTAAACCATCCAGCCACGGCTTGTAATGCCAGTTCCAGATCTTCCAGTCTGGAGCAATGTTCCCTCTAAGCTGTGGAGTCTCGTGAGCAAAAATTCTACTTTGTGAGCTACTGGCATTAAAGTTGTGAGGAAGCCATTTGGCTCCTGCATTAATTAATTTGCTCTGGAGCCATCCTTCCTGAGCAAAGACAAAAATGTGTGAGCCGGAGGCTAAAAAACTGTGAGCTAGCTCACACTAACTCAGTTTAGAGGGAACACTGGTCTGGAGTCAGACTGACCGCCCAACATCAGATAGAGCTGGGGGTCAGCCACATATTGGTGACTTCCCAGTCCATGCCTCCAGGCAATCTCGGCAATGGAATGCGTGTAGATGTTAAATAACATTGGGGAAAGCACTGCCCCTTGGGGCACTTGGGGTGCCTTCGGAATAGCTGTTCCCCTACTGCCACCCTTCGTCCCACTGCAAGGCAAGTCCCTGAATCCCCATGTTGGCGAGGTGGTGGATCAGTAGTTGATGGTCGACCGTGTTGAATGCCATCGACAGGTCCAACAACAACAGCACCGCCAATCTGCCTTGATTCAGATGCCTCTGGAGGTCATCCGTGATGTCTTGGCCTGGATTAAAACTGGACTGGAAGGGATCTAACCTGGAAGTGTCATCCATAAAGCTCTGCAACTGTATCGCCACTGCCCTCTCAATTATTTTGCCTATATAGGGCAAATTGAAAACCAGATAGTAACAAGAAAATATATTTACCTTCCCATTTACTTTCATGTCCCATCCTCATTGTACAGAATGTAAGTACTACATGGCACAAGCTGTGCTATCTGCAAGCTCAGACATGGGGCTGAATCCAGTGATCTGCCAGTGGAAGAGGCCTATGGCTGCAGATCTTCCCTGCTTTGCCGCCCCCCCCCCCCCCTCCCTTCCTATACTAGGAAAGTAGATTCCGGGCATTGCAGGAAATTGCCCTTCCTGTCGGTTCCATCAGCAGAGCTGCACTATTGTGATGGAAAAGAGAGAGCCCTCTCAATACAGCCTCATTGACCCACATGGCTGTTCACATGGCTCTTGCAACCCCAGGAATCAACCTTCTCAGTGTTAGAAGGCACTGTTGGAAGGTGTGTGTGAGCGGGGAGAGGATCCATATTCCTTGCATAAGAGGGACTGGTCAGTCCAATCCACAGACCTCCACAACCTGTACTGCTTTGCCAGCTTCCCCATGCTACTTGTGAGCTGAAAGGATTATTTCCTCAGTGACAGGAGGAACATTACCAATTCTTCCCTAGGCAGAACATTCCACAGTTCAGGTTCTGCAGGGCCCACAAGATGGAGTTGTTCCGCCAGGCCTTTAGGAGAAGCAGCAGGTGTGTCCAACTATATCAGCTTCCCCTGCTCCACCTATCCCTTTCATTCCATCTTAATGGTGCTTAGCATGCATCCCCTAATCAACTGTTTCGTCAGACACGTAGTGTCCTCTGGGAGCTTCTGTAACACTTGCGCCATTTTGTGGTTATGCTGTTGGGGTTTTAAATTGGATTATTGCTTGACTGTTTTTAAAATGTTTTGTTCTGTTGAATTTTTGTTGCGAACTGCCCTGAGCCCACTTGTGGGGGAGGGCAGGTGGGTTAGAAATATAATAAAATAAATATGTAATAAATAACTCATGTCTTTCCAGCACACAATGAACATTTCTCAGGCCTTACATTGGAGTAGCTGGTTGAGGTTCTCCACAGATATGTGACCTTCGGCACCGACAGTGGCCTGAAGATTCTTTACAAGACTCTGGAGTGCCTCAGTGGAGGAATGGATATCCCAAACCACAGCCACTTGCTGGCCAGGAGAGATCTTGTGCTGTGCCATACCTAAGGTGTATTACTGAACCTGAAAGAAACAGAAAAATGATGACAAAACACTGAGGGCGTTTGGCAGAAGCTGGGCACTGAAATGATTCGCTTGTGAGACTCCTTTCTAGAGTTACTCTCGCTATTAGTGTTAGGGCAGCAATACTGTTAGAGGGTTACCATAATTCATTTGCCCAGACATATTAAAAGTTTATAAAAGGTTTTTTTAATACAAAAGGAGGAGGAGGAGGAGCTTGGATTTATACCTTGTCCTTCACCCTGTGATATAGGTGGGGCTGAGAGAGCTCTTTCGAGGACTGCTCGTGAGAGAACATGTGACTGACCCAAGGTCACACCAGCAGCTGCATGTGGAGGAGTGAGGAATCAAACCCGGTTCTCCCAGATTAGAGACCGCACTCCTAACCACTACACCAAACTGTCTCTTTTATACAAGCTTTTGTTTTCTAAATTCAGGGAGCATAAGTGAGAAGAATTCCATCTCCCAACCAGGACTTTTTAAAACTTCCAGTCAAGGAATGCATTTTCAGTTACAGCGCTAAGTTCTTGACATACCAAGAGCTGGAGCATTTTTCTTATCTCAGCTGCACACATTGACACAACTGATCTCTGGAGAAAACGTGCCATCTTTCCCAAAGATAAAAAGAATTTTAGAAAGTTCTAGAACCAAACCACACCAATAAAGAGATTTTAAGCATCTAATGAAACCGGAGCAATCTCAAATGTAGTGTCAGTGGGCAGCTGTGCAGAAAGTTATAAAACAAAGTACATGTATTACATTTTACAGTAAGACCGACGGCCCCGTGTGAGAGAACTAGGAAAAGGAGGGAGGCAGATAAAGGTGCTGTGTCTGCTCTTGGTTCAGAGGGATGGACTCTTCCCCAAATGGAAAGGGCTTTTAATTTAAAAAATTGAATTTGCAGATGTTGAGAGCTGCTCTGGGGGCTCTGGTCAAACAGTGGGATAGAAATCCAACACAGATAAACATAGGAGGGTCGTCCATTCCTATTGAGGTTCTCTGCGATGGAGGAAGGCCACAGGTTTGAAGCCAAGGTCTCAGTTTTCAAACATGGCCGGTCACTTAAATAAGAATCTGACGCAAGGACTTTTGTTCTTCTACATAATCCTAACATAAGAGCCCTGTTGGATCACACCAGTGGTCCATCTAGACCAGCAACCTCTTTCACACAGTGGGCAACCAGTTGCCCTGGAGGGCTGAACAAACAGGAGACAGAGGCGAAGGCCTTTCCTGATATTGCGCTGGCACTCAAGAGTGCTGAATGTGGAGAGATCTGAACAGCACAGCAGCCACTGATGGACCTTTCCTCCATGAATCTGTCCAACCCCCTTCTAAAGCCATCTATGCTAGTGACCATTGTTACATCTACTAGCAGTGGATTCTACAACTTGAATACTCATTGAGTAAAGAAGCATTTCCTTCCATCTGTTTGAAACACATTCCCATCAACTTCACTGGGTGTCCCAGAATTTTAGCATCAGGGAGAGGGAGAAAATGTTCTCCCTACCAGCTTTCTTTATCCCATGCAACACCTGGCGCGAGCTTCGTACTATCATCCATGGCCTGGCCTTATGACCTTGTTTTTTTTTCTGAACCTGAAGAGCAAGGCTCCTTCAAGCAAACATGGCGGATGACTAAATCTTTAAAAATACAATTCTACCTTGGCTTTACATGTGAAAATGACCAATAGACAACCAAATATGGCAGCAGCCATTCAGAACCTGACCCTTCATTTCATTTTAAGCTTCAAAGAGTTACATGAGTCTCTTCATGATATCTTTCTACCTGTGCTGGCCAAAAGGGAATGAGTAGCACAAGCCTCACTTTGAAACTTACATTGTAGTTTCATGCAGATTTTATTTTAGTAAGCTTAGATGAGAGTAACTCTCCATAGGAATGTATTTTTAGTGTTTGTTTTTTAAACCACCCATATCATACTGTACTTTATAAGGTATGAGAATCCTGTCTCATCAGCAGGTTTAGGCAAAACATCATAAACGCAGATGAAGCACCAACGTATCTAGGAAACAATTAGCTTCCAAAAAGCAGTTCAGGGTAGCAATAGAGCATCAGCATGAAAATAACTAAAGGACAAAATTCAAAATTGTTTCTGAAGATGCAGTCCAGGAAGGACACAATCAGTCGGAGATTCTCTCTCTCTCTGTGCCTAGCAACAGCCTCCTATATGAGGCACAAAATAAGCACAAAGAGTACACTGCGCTAACAGTAGGTATCTCCGCACTATGCTGCACATTACCAGACAAGCTGAACATACCTCACATCTCTCATAACACATCTAAAGGTTGCATACACTAGATTCAGAAGAATACACTGCTCTGTGCATCTCTCCAATACTACATGCACCTGGGAACTTTCTATACCATGTAGCTCTGTCCTGTGGATGCAAAGGTCTCTATGCACATCTCTTGTAGGCAGGGGTCGTTTCATAGAAAAAGAGCTAGGGGAACTCATTAGCATATGCCACACACCCTGACATCACCGCGGCGATGGACCTGCAAGGCCGGCGGGAGTGCAAGGAAGCCCCGCGAAGGCCCTCCCTGGCCCCAGGCAGGCAGGGGTGGGGAGAGGCAGGGAGGAAGCAACTTACCCTCCCTCTTCTCCTGCCTCCTCCTGGCTGAATGAGGACCGGAAGCGGGGTGGCCGGAAGCAGGGGGCGGGGCTTCGTCATGTGCCCCACCCCCCGTACCTCACCCGGGGGAACTGCGATCTCCTGCGATCCCCTCGAAATGACCTCTGTTTGTAGGGGCTCTGAGGAAGGTGGGAATCCCCCCCTGGCCATTATCTGCTGTTTGTCTAGGACCTCTAATGAACAGATGTGAGACAAGGGAGTTTGCTCAAAGTGAGAGGAGCAAAGTTGTGGATATATTCTACAGAAACACATTAGCTTTTACAGCAGACTCTCACTATTTGCAGGGGTCCATTCCCAGGATCACTACAAAAGGTAAAATTCATGAATACTGGGAGACAAGGGTTTGCTGCCTCCCAGTAGCAAAATAACCAAATTTCCTGCAAAATGTAATAATTATGATGGTGGTGTGGTGGAAGAAAAAAAAAGGCTGGAGATGGAGACCACATCATGTGACTGGACCGAGGATGTTCTGAGGATCTACTATGCTCCATGGGTGATACATATGAAGGCTGAATGATTCAGTGATGCCTGGTAGCTCTTTTTTGCATGAGCAAAAGGCCATGGGGTCTGAACAAAGGCTAGAAGCCATGGTGTCTGAATAAAAGGGCCTTCCCCTTTGTGCCTTCCAATACTTCATGCAGCTGGAAGGCAAATGCACATCACAGATAGGACTACTTTTCTTTAAACATCAAGTTCACAGCTTTAGGGCAGCATCCAGAATGTACATAATAGAATGATTCAAGAGGACATTTATATAAGGGGAATAAGTTAAATGGAACTGTTCAGGAGGACACTTTTATAAAGGGAACAAGCTTTTGTTTTTTTCTACATAGTTTTCTGATTTTGTAATCCAGGCTTTATACTGTTTACTGTATAGCTTGCACTGTATTATTGCATTTTAATAGTTTGTAATCCAATGAGAGTCTCAGTGAGAAAGACCAGCTATAAATAAACAAATAATAACTACATATTTCCCTACTCCTGGATTTCTAGTAGCATCAGTGGCCCTTGGTGCCTTTTTCAGCTTTGGCTCATCTGTGAGCTCTTTACTGAAAGATCAGAACCTCAACACTATCATTCATGGCTTGATGACTACTGTAGTGCACTCTATGTAGAGTTACCCTTCATTTTTTTTTTTTTAAATGTATTCCCTACCTTTCTCCCCAATGGGAACCAAAAGCAGTTTACAACATTCTCCTCTCCTCCATTTTATCCTTACAGCAACCTTGCAAGGTAGGTTAGGCTGAGTGTGTGTGACTCACCTGAGGTCGACCTGCAACCTTCTATGGCAGGGTAGGGATTCAAACCTGGAAGTCTCCCACATCCCAGTCCAACACCCTGATCACTATACCACGCTGGCTCTAGTTTGGAAACTTCAGCTAGTGAAGAATGCCACAGGCCTTTAAAGCCCTGATTGTCCTGGGCAATATACCTCAGGCGGCACTTACTCGCATAAAGGCACCCTCCTCCATGAGCCAAGCCAAGGAGGGGCTACTTAAACTGACATCTTGCAAAGAGGCTCGATTGACACCCATACTTAGTAGGTCCTTCTCTATAGCTGCTCCAGAAGTCTGGAACACCTTGCCCTGACGCCAGTCCCACTGCGGACCCACTTTTCCATTTTGTTTTCTTCTGCTATCTTCAGATGTGGCTAATAGCTCTTACATGGTTGTTATATTATGGTTGTTATATTAATTAGAATTACTATCCACAGCAAAATCATCCTCCAAAATTTAAAAAGACTCTGCACAGTGGTTATTGTGTTGGACCAAGATGACCTCGGTTCAGATCTTTACTTACCATAAAACAGTTGCCAACCTGGATCTAACAGAAAACTTACTGGGTGACCTCTGGGTCAGGTATTCTCTCTCAGCCTAAGCCACCTTACAGAGGTGTTGTGGGGATAAAATGGAGGAGAAGATGCCATTCTGAGCTCTTTGGAGGAATAACAGCAGGATATTTTAAAAGGTACAGTAAAAATAAATAAATAGCAGTCTATGGTGTACAGCAGTTTTGGAAACACAATTCTGAACACTCAATCAATACTAAACTTTCTACTTTGTCACGGACTCATCTACGTAAAAGGACTCACTTTGCAAAATAAACAGCACCACTCTGGACAGACTGATAATCGGAAAGTCTAAGGCAGTTCTGTCTGCGGAATCACAGAATTCAATCTCTGGCAACTCCTGCAGTTTGTTTATTTAATTTTTGACTTATATACCGCTCTGACCCCGAAGGGTCTCTGAGCGGTTTACACAGCTGTTTATCCCTAATTAGGGCCACATTATTTGTATGGGGGGTGATAACAGTTGGACAGGAACCTTCACAAGACTCCAGAAAGCTGTAAAAAGCCACATTTATCTTGGTAGACCAACTTGTCTCAGTAGAAGGCAGCTTAAAGAAGGGTTGATAGTTCAGTGGTAAAGGGAAGTTCCAGGTTCATGCTTCAGCACCTCAACCTAGCGAAGCAAAAAGCTCTGCTGCCAATCAGAGGAAATATGACTGACCTCGATTCTGTCTAAGGCAGTTTCACAGGAGAACACAGAAGCTGATACAGAAATCAGTGTGGTCAGTCTTTATGGTGCCTCACCGGTCTTTTGTTTTATTTTGTTACGGCAGACTAACACAGCTACCCCACTGCCATCAGCGTGGGGGAGATCCTAACCGTAGCCTCCACCTCACTTCCAATTTTTTTCCTACCGCAAACAGATGACAGCAAGGAAAGATGGAATTAAAGACCACGACTCAGCCTGTGCGTGGACACAGAAGGACTGCTCAGAAAACAGCTGGGGAGGGAAGAAGGTGGGAGATGGTGCGTTTCCTTTCTCCTGACCCCTCCCAAATAACCGCCCCTTGAAATGACAAAGCCCTCAGACCTGTCTCCAGCTGGCTTCCCTTACATTCCTCCCACTGGGCCAAACAACACAGCCCCAACAAGGAGAAGTGCTAACGCTGGCTTGAGAAATTTTGGGGGAGGGGGCGTCCTTGGGGAGGTCAAAGTTTGGGGAGGGGCCCCAGCAAGGACGTGATGTGATGTCACTCTAGGACTCCTGTTTCTCCTAGACTTTCTGATACACCATAGAGTCCACCTTCTTAAGCAGCCATTTCCCCCAGAGGAACTGCTCTCTGTAGAACGCAAGCCTCCCCTGGAGGTGAATAACCCATTGCCAGCGAGCGATACCTGCCTCCGTGTTATTTGTTGGGGGAGAAGAGCGCTCCCTTGTCTTTAGCCAAACCCCTTCCCTTCCCTCAGAGCGGCAAACTCCTCAAAACAAGCCCACCCAGAAGGAGCGGAAGAAAATAAAGGAAGACCCTGAATACCCACCTCACGTACCCGCTCTCCTCTCCGCCTTTCACAGCTCCGTCACACACCGCCTCGCTCGCTCCCTTTAGCCGGGCCTTTTCCGCCTCTCTGTTCCCGCCCAGCGGCCTGGGCCCGGCCTCTTCCGTCCCACTTTGCCCGATGTAAAAATGGAGACTCGACACTGCGTGTAGCTTCCGGCCCGCTCCTAAGATGGCGACTTCGTCAACGGCGGGGGAGGGTGTAGTGGAAACGCCAACCCGCTTCAAACATGGCGGCAGCCGCCGCCAACGTCCACTGAGGTGTTTCCCACGGTCTCTTTGCCCACTCTAAAGATGGCGGCTGCGGCGAGCCTGAGGAGAGCGGGTTGGGGGCTGCTGCGCTGCCAGGCGGGTGAGGCTCTCCGGTGGGGGGAAGGAGACGGGAAAGGGGGCCGGGAGGAGACCGCCCGCCCTTGCTCCGATGCTGAGAAATGAACCGTAGAATAGGGAAAGCTCCGGCTGCGGGAAATTAAGGTGGAAAGGTGAGGTGAAGGGCAAGAGGCGCTAGGCGATGAGTAATGGTTCATTTGCATAGACTAGCCCAATAAGTGTGAGCAAGCAGCGGTAGTTGTTGGGAGGACTCTTGGGTTTCCTTTTCTCCCCTCGTTGAAAGGAATCAGCAGGGACTTATTTGCATAAATTGGCATATTAAGTTTATGCTGCTGATGGGTGGTGGTGGTGGTGGTACTTGTTTTTTTTAGTTGGGAGGGCGTACCCTCTACCCCTGCTGGTATTTCTGTGGCTCCAAAGATTTTAAACTATTCATAACATTTTTTTCGTCTAGGTCGACAAAAGATGATTACATCTCTTTGCAACACAGTGTATTACAATACAGTATGAGACTAAGTGCCCTCACCAGGACAGCCCCATCTCAGGAGTTAAGCAGGGTCAGCCCCGGTTGGTACTTGGATGGGAGACCACCAAGGAAGCATAGGGGTGTGATGGAGAGGCAGGCAGTGGCAAACCACCTCAGAATGTCTCTTGCCTTGAAAACCCCATGCTCATGGGCTTGCCATAAGTCAGCTGTGACCTGGTAGCAAAAGGAGAGAGAGAGACTTAAGTATTGCACCAGGTCAGTCAAATGTCACAAGAACCAGGTGACATACAATGTAGACAGTATTTATAGTTACAGTATAACATATATGTATTTTACAAAGTTCATGATCACATAATACTTAATGATTATTTGTCAAATTAGAGGATGGATTCAGGGCTGGGTGTACATGTGTGCTTGTGTGAACAAGCATTTTTATCCCACCCTTCTTCCAAGGAACTGTATCCATCTCGAACATTTTTCTCCCACCCTTCTTCCAAGGAACTCAGGGTTGCCATATATGGTTGTCCCTTTGCCATTTTATCACCCCAGGAGCCCCCTGAGTTAGGTTGAGGTGACTGGTCCAAAGTCACCTAATGAGTCTACACAAGCTCCAAAATCTAACATCCAACAAGCAGGGGTTGTAGAGCCCACCTGCTGTACTGAAATCTTATAAAGGGTGTTTCAGGGCCTAGTACTATTTATGGATCTGCCTAGTGTCTGCTCCCAGTCCTTTCCAGAAGGTGTATGTTGTCAGCTTCCGGTTGAAGCTTAGATCCTCAGACATGAGGGGATCAGTTCACATACTGCATGATCTGAGGGGGCTCAAGCCCCCCACCACAACCACTTTCCTCTCCTAAAATGGCCTCAGGGATCTGCTGTTTTCCCTTGGGGAAACATGCATGTATGGATGGGCTGTATGCTCAGTTTTTAATGCTGGATTTAAATTAATATCCTCCAATGTTTTGTAAGCTGCCTCAGGCAGGTTTCTGGAGAGGCAGCATAAAAACGGTCTAAATATAAGTGTGCACCAAGTTTCCCCCAGTAGTGCAAATAGCAGTTCCCTGGAGTGGTTTCAGGTCTAGGGCATGGGAGTGAGGCTGATGCTTATGCATCATCTCCCCACACACCACAGTCCCAATCTGAATCAGGCCCCTCCGACTAGAGGATCTTAAGTTTTGACTGGAACCTCTCAGCACATCTGCTTATTGGTACCAGGCAGACTCATTATAAGCAGCATAGTATGTGCTTTAAAGGTAAAGGTTCCCTTGCTCGAAAGCCAGTCGAGTCCGACTCTAGGGTTGCGGTGCTCATCTCCGTTTCAAAGCCGAAGAGCCAGCGCTGTCCGAAGACGTTTCCGTGGTCATGTGGGCGGCATGACTAAACACCAAGGCGCACGGAACGCTGTTACCTTCCCACCGAAGTGGTACCTATTTATCTACTTGCAATTTCTTCCTTTCGAACTGATAGGTTGGCAGGAGCTGGAACTAGAGACGGGTGCTCACTCCATCATGTGGCAACTAGGGTCTCGAACTGCTGAACTACTGACCTTCCACAGCCTGCAGTTCAGCATCTTAACCACTTGAGCCACTGCAGCTCAATATGTGCTTAGGTCCTCACAAATGCAGGGTCATTGCTTGCAGACTTGCAAGGGTGAAGGAACCACCACAGAAAATGGTATAGTCCAGCGGATAAAGTCTTGGTCCTGAGTTTGGATGTGCGCTGACCTGCTTGAAGCTGAGGTCGGTCGAGGCCCATCTCCTACCATTTAGTAGTGCCGCCTGTTTTTCTGACAACGGTCTGGGGTGCTGGTTGTTGGGTACCAGATGGCTATGTTTTTATTCTGATGCCTACACTATGATGCTATTTTATAGATTGTAATGTAATTATTTTTGTAAGTATGTTTTCATCTATATTGATGTTGAGAGCCACCCTGAGCTCTGTGACCCAGGCAAGGGGCTTGGTAGAAGTATAAAAATAAATAGAGAGTTGCAAAGTGTCATGGAGCAATCCCATTTTCTTTCACCCTCAAAGTCTCATGTTTTATGTGCTTTGGCTCGCCAAGGCCCTGCGCACAAACTGGTTCAGTATACAAGAAAGCAATCCTAACGATCAAGGAGTCCCACAGGGAATGCAGCCAATAACTACACAGTGCCACACGTAATAATTTGTCTCACTGAACTGGTCTCTGTTTCAGTCATCAGACGCCAGCTGTACCCAGCCCAGCGTGCCCTCCACGCTGCCACTGTGTGGAGGAGAGTTTTGGATGAGCCAAAACAGCAGCCCCCGCAGTATTCCGCCCAGCAGCCTTCAGACTCTCAGCCAGGGGGAGAACAGCATGATCAAGAGCCTCCGTATTCACGCCCCAGGTAACCCGTGTCGCTCTAAGAGGTCTCTCTCTTCCCAAACCGAAGGCCCGTTCCAGTATAATCCCTTGAAGCTCAAGCAGGGGGTTCTGTTGCTCAGCAAGTCCTTTTGACACCAGTGTCTGCTTGGTTTATTCCCTCCCTCCCTCCCAAGCTGTAACTGCAGAGCAACCTGGATGGCACCTAACTGCCAATTCTTCCACTGCCCACACACAAGCAGAGTGTTATACATCATGTTGCATGGGGAGAGCGGTACATTTATTCATGTATTGAGATGCTTATACCTTGTTTTTCTCCCCAAGACAGCTGACAGTGTCATTTTCCCTGCCTTCTGTTTTTATTCTCGCAACAAGCTTGTGAGGTAACATAAGACACCCACAAGCAGAGTGTTATACATCATGTTGCATGGGGAGAGCGGTACATTTATTCATGTATTGAGATGCTTATACCTTGTTTTTCTCCCCAAGACAGCTGACAGTGTCATTTTCCCTGCCTTCTGTTTTTATTCTCGCAACAAGCTTGTGAGGTAACATAAGAGACGCCAATGGTGGATCAGGCCAAAGGCTCATCCAGTCCAACACTCTGTGTGACACACAGTGGCCAGAAATACCAGTGCCATCAGGAAATCCACCAGTGGGGCCAGGACATTAGAAGCCCTCCCACTGTTGTAGTTTAAAGTTTTATTGTTTTATATATAAAAAGAAAGTGGTATACAGTTACTTTACATCCATTTGCGTTACATTACAAGTCAGAGTCAATTTCCTTTAATTGTTTACATTACTAGTTGTTGGTCTTGTGTTTCTAATTCTATTACATATTCTAAATATAACTTTTATATTACAGTTCTATCTGGTCTTCTATCCATTTATATATTCTGTCCCATCTTTTTTTGTGTACCGTCTCATTTTTGTTTTGTATCTTTAGACTTAAATCATCCATTCTGGCTAATTCTAATATTTTATTTAAGAGGTCTTCCCTTGTGGGTAAATTATCTAGTTTCCATTGTCGGGCTATTAACAGTCTAGCTGCAGTTATAACATAACTAATAATAAATGCATCCTGCTTATCATATCCTTTCGGGATCATATTTAACAGATATATTTCTGGCTTTAGGGCCACATTTTTACCCAGACTTTCTTGGAGCACCTCCCTTACTAGTTTCCAAAATTTTTGTGTTTTGTTGCACTCCCACCACATGTGATAGAAGGTTCCTTTAGAAGATTTACATTTCCAGCATTTGTTTGAGTATCCCTTGTAGCATTTGGCCAGTTTATCGGGTGCCCAGTGCCATCTGTGAAACATTTTATAAACATTCTCTTTGTATGCTACCGCTCTCATATATTTAACTGATTTCCACATGCTCAACCACTGCTCTTCATCAATTTCCCCTATATCTTTTATCCAAGTGATCATTACAGTTTTGACATTTTCATCTTGTAGGAAATCCTTTAATAGAAAGTTATACAGTTTCTGGACTAATTTGTCATTTGAGGACAACCATATTATATCCAGTTCATTGTTTTGGTCCTCAA